AATTTGTATTCCTAATTGCTTGAACACACCATCATACCCAGTGCTCTTTGAGTTATTTTTGTGCGGTTGGTGCTCTTCTTAATTTGTGTTTTTTTTTCATTTTTTTTGCTTGGGCGCTCTGTGCTTTCTCCTGTACTGTGGTGTTGGATTGTTTTGTGTTGGGAGAAGAAATAATAAGGAATACATATAAATTTGTAATTTTGCTTGGTCCTACAAGAAGAGGCATTTTGATATATGTCCGTGCTTTCTGCTTCTAATGGTTGCTCTCTTAATTTCTTTTTTTTTTCATATTGAGAGGTTAATTGGGATTCTCTTTTTCGTGCTGGGTATTGTGTGCCTTGTTCTTTTTATTTGAACTCTAACTGAGTGATGGTTATAATGTTTTGTTTTGCTTCTACTCTTGTCGTTTCGTGGCATTTCTTTGTTACCTATAATGTTGTCTTTAATTTTCTTTTTTTGTGCGGTTGTTTGGTTCTGTCTTTTGACTTTTTGCTTGCATAACAGAGAATTCAGAAAGTAAACCCACCCAAAAAAAAAAAAAAAACTGTAATGATGGGAATGCGCTACACCATTTGTGTTGTGGTATTAGCACTCTGCTTTGCCTGCGGTATTGTGTGTGCTGATGCTCCTCCTGGCGAAGGTGAAGGTCATCAAGATGATCCCGACGCTGCTGAGGAGAATGAACTGGAAGCTCGTGTTCCTCCTCATGCGCTTCCACCTAACCCAAACCCTGGAGCTGGCAGTGACCCAAACCAGGTTAATAATTCCGTAAACGGGCTGAGTAGAAATGGTAGTGAAGGTGTGGATTTGGCAAACACGGGTGCAACTAGTCATCTACGGAATGGAAATACACAGGGGCACACAAAGAACCCTGAGAAGCCTCCAGCACCGACATCTGAAGGAGAACCCGAAGGAATTCCTAAACCTCCAAAGACCCCAAGTCCTCAGTTGCCGGAACCATCCTCTGCAGTGACACAAGAAAGCAAGGAGAACAAGCAGAATACAGACAATCAGAGTGTATCAAGTGGAAGTACAACTACGAATGATGGTGCACCAACGCCATCTTCTTCACCAACATCTACTGAAACCCAAGCTACACCTTCACAACATGAAACTGAAGGGAATAATGAATCTGGTTATACAAACGCTGAGAGCGGCACTGCACCTGAAGGGAGTGGGTCAACAAATAACACAACTAATGAAGAATCAACCTTAACGACAACGACGACGACGACTACCACAACAACAACAACAACCCTTCCTCCTGAACTCACAAACAACAAGAAGGGTGATGCAGACAGCAGCAGCAGTATCAGCAGTTCTGTGTGGGTGCGTGTACCACTACTGATTGTGGTTACATTGGCCTGTATTCTTGTGTGCTGATTGTGGTGGCGGTGGTGTGACTCAGGTCATCCTTTGTTTTCTTTCCTTCTTTTTTGCATACATCCCCACACTCTAACTAATCTTCCACCTGTTGGGATTTCTTTTCTTTTTTTTGTTTCTTAATGTTATTGTGTTTTGTGTGTTTTTGCTCTCTGTGTTTATCCTATAATTATAATTATTATTGCTACTACTCCATTATGTGTGTGTGTTCTTGGAAACTCTCTCTGTGTGTGCACCTGGGTTTGCACTGTAATAATGATGATGAAATGCTTTTTGCAGTAGGAAAAAGGGAAAGAAATAATAATAATAAGAGATGAATTTATATTTATAATTGCGTATATATACACATATAGACTTACACCCATAATTGATGTATTTCTGTGTTTACTGGGTAAATTGGGCTCAATTGTTTAATTGTTTTTTAATGGTTTTGCTGGTTCTTGTTTGTGTGGTGCCCATTTGTTGGACTTTTTATTGTTTATACTTTTTTTCTTGATTTGTGTGAGGGAATCTTTTGTGGTGTTATCCTCCTCTGTCTATGTATGTATGTGTCTGTTTATTTTGTTTTTATGTTGTTTCTTTTTTTCTTTATTGTTTGTTTTAGATACGTAAAGTAAGAAGAAAAACTCTTACCGAAAGGATGTTGCATCGTGTATTTTGTTTGCTGACTTTGCTGCTGAGTGTTGTTGTCTGTGTTTCTGTGTCAGCTCAGGGGGTTCATCCTTCTCAAGCACCCTCTCAGGTTTCAGTTAACGGTCCTGCTTTTTCGCATCTCGCTGGTGCTACTGATGAAAAGGTAGGCTCTCACGGTTCTGGCGTTACTCCATATCCTGGTCCTATTCCTGCTGCTGGCATTCCTGGTCATGGTGTTTCTCCTGCACCTGTTGGCTCTCATCCTGGTGGAGCCAAAGCCGTTGCTGGTGTGCCAGGTATTGATGATAAACCTCAAGTTGATGTTCTTGTTTCTTCTGTAAATCCTGGGGCTCACCCTGGTCCTGGTTTCACGTATGATAATTGCACTTCTATTATTATTGGTGATAATGGCAAGAGGAATAACAGTCATTGTGTTCCGGAATCTTCTACAACCTCTCGTGTTGCCGCTACTGTTAACCAGGTTCCGAGTGGTGCTGGTGCAGTTGCTCCTGGTGCTCCCGCTGCTATTCATGGGCATCCTGATTTTTCTGGTTTTCAGGAAAGAGCTCTACAAAGAGAACCTGATGCTGGTGCTGGCGGTCAAATGGGGCCAGGGGTTGGACTTGCCCCTGGCGTTGCTGTTAATCTTCCACAAGGTGAAAAGGCTAAACCTCCTGTTAATCGTGAAGCCCTGGTACGTGATACCAATTCTCTAGATGCATCTCCACAGGCTCCTTCTAATACTGCTGGTGTGCGTAATCATGGTGCAGTTGGTGCTAATGCTGTTGCTGCTATTCCTGGATTTCCCGGTGGTTATTCTGATGCTGGTATTGCTGCCACCAGTCTTATTTCTCCTACGACGCCACTTGGTTCTCACCCCGGTGCAGGTCCTGTTGTTTCTCAGAGTAATGCACAAGTATCTGGTTCTGCAAACACGCAAAGTGGAGAAAGTGATAATCAAACAGAGAATACTATGGAATCATCAACTTCTGAAGTAAGGGTTGCAACGGCTAATCCAGGAAAGGGAAA